CATCAGGAATTCTCACCACGAACCTTTCCTGCAATAACCTGGTTTTTCATCTCCAAGCCTGATCTCCCTCCTCACCAGAACCGACCCGCTCTCCCACCGCTCACCTTCCTTGGATTTTGGATTCATGCTGAAGTTGCTCACCCCAGTCCTGGCTACCCTCCCAAGCTCTGGATCTCAGCCCCACAGTAAGATCCACTACAAACTAAATCCTGCAAGATTCTATTCCTCGCTGCCCAACACTGACAGTGTTTGTTCCAACAGACCCAGCCCGGAGCTCTGCTCAGCCTCACCACCACGTCTGGCGGTGCACCTTTAGTTCTACTTAAAATAAACCATTTATTTTTCCTACCACGTCTCCTAGTGTGAATTCTGCATGTCTTGGGTCAGGAAACTTCCCTCGGTCATGACAGAATCTTCCGGCCCAACTCCTGACTCTGCAGAATCTTCTTCTCCAACCGTCTCCGACATGCTGGCTCTCCATGACCGGTCCATACAGGCGCTTGTGGAGCAGACTTCGGCCTCCAACCAGCACCTCCTGCGAATGGATGCCCTCCTCCAGAATCTCCACAGCCGCCTCCCACTAGCCCCGGAACCAGCAGTCCCGGATCCTGTAGTTCCACCCGGAGCAGTTTCTCAGGAACTCCCGGCTCTCCAGCATTTCCGGCTTGCCTCCTCACCGCCTGTTGTCACTTTTGAGGGTGAGTCCTCTGAATGCCAGAGTTTTTTGCTTCAGTGTAATTTAGCGTTTGGACGCTCACCGTACTCTTTTAGCTCAGACACTGCTCGAATTTCGTATGTGATTGGATTGCTCTGCGGACGAGCTCTCAGGTGGGCTGAGGCTAGGAGTCATGAGGAAGCTTTTTTAACCGGTCCCTTTTCTGAGTTTGTGAAGGAATTTAAATTAACGTTTGGATGTGAGGAATCACCGGGTGACGTGGCACGCAAATTGCTGCACTTGGCCCAAGGACGGAGATCGGTAGCGGATTTCGCCATTGATTTTCGGACCATTGCTGCTTCCACGAAATGGAATGAAGAGGCACTTAAGGGGGTCTTCACGAAAGCCTTATCGGAAAGGATTAAGGACCAGCTAGCTTTTTGTACTGAGCCTGCCACTCTTAATGAGTTGATCAATTTGGAGATCCGCATCGACAAGAGGCACCGGGAGAGACAATCAGGTACACATTCCTCACACACTAACCTGTCTCCTCAGCACCCGTCGCTACCTAAGAGCCAAGGCCTAATGGAGGAACCCATGGAACTAGGTCGGACACATCTGGACCCAGAGGAGAAGCAGCTACGCCGCAGGTCTGGTCTTTGTTTATATTGTGGTCTCGCAGGTCATTATGTCTCCAAGTGCCCTTCGTTAAAAGACAAGTCCCGTCATTAGAAACGAGAGTGATGGGCAGTGTGACCAGTGGAACCTCTCGTAGCATCATTCCCTGTACCTTAGTTTCCAGGTTTCACACACTCGACTGCCATGCGCTGTTAGATTCTGGCTGTGAGCAGTCCCTTATGGATACAGAGCTGGTTAAACAGCTGGGGCTTTCCACCGTCACCTTGTCTTCTCCTCTAGCAGTCTCTTCGCTAGATGGGAATTCACTCACTACCATAACACATGGCACCACACCCATCATTCTCAGAATATCCGGTAATCACACTGAGGAACTCTCGTTTTTTGTTTTTCCATCCCAAAACGCTCCGATAGTCCTTGGGCATTCCTGGCTCTCTGTTCATAACCCCCACATCAACTGGCAGACTAACTGCATAGAGACCTGGAGCTCCCATTGTTCCGCATCATGCCTCAGTTCCGCACTTCCTTTCCCCAGTGGTGACCGCTCCCCTCCGTCTGAGCCCCCAGACCTGTCTGGAGTCCCTGAGTGTTTCATGACCTTAAAAATGTTTTCAGTAAGGATCATGCAGCCTCCCTTCCGCCTCACCGACCTTTTGACTGCAGCATACATTTACTCCCTGGAGCACCTCTCCCTTCTAGTCGCCTTTACAGCCTCTCCAAACCTGAGAGGGAGAGCATGCAGAAATATATTACTGAGTTTGGCGGCTGGATTGATTCGACCTTCAACCTCTCCTTTGGGTGCGGGGTTCTTCTTTGTCCCCAAGAAGGATGGTACCTTGCGACCCTGTATTGACTACCGCGGACTCAATAACATCTCAGTCAAAAACAAGTATGCTCTGCCCCTCCTCTCATCCACTTTTGAACCGGCACAGGGAGCAACAATTTTTACTAAACTGGATCTAAGAAACGCTTACCACCTGGTCAGGATAAAGGAGGGTGACGAGTGGAAGACCGCCTTTAAGACCCCCCTTGGCCATTACGAGTACTTAGTAATGCCATTTGGTTTGACTAACGCTCCTGCTGTGTTCCAGACTCTAATCAATTCAGTGCTTGGGGATTTCATTAACCGCTTTGTTTCTGTCTACTTAGATTACATCCTGATTTTTTTCTAAGGATCCTGTGGAACACGAGGAGCATGTGAGGGCGGTACTTCAGCGCCTTCTCCAGAACAGGTTGTTTGTCAAAGCAGAGAAGTGCGAGTTTCATGTGCATTCAGTCAAGTTTTTGGGTTTCATCCTGGAGAGCGGGCGGTTAAAGGCTAACCCTGAGAAGACCCAGGCCATTCTGGACTGGCCCACTCCCACCTCCAGAAAACAGTTGCAACGTTTCCTGGGCTTCGCTAACTTTTATCGACGTTTTATTCGAGGGTACAGTCAGGTAGCGGCCCCTCTCACCAGCTTGACTTCCATTTCCAGACCCTTTGTTTGGACACACCAGGCCCGGGCTGCCTTTGACCAGCTCAAACACCGGTTCACCCAGGCCCCTGTCCTGACCCGACCGGACGACACCCGACAGTTCACTTTGGAGGTCGACGCCGGAGTCGGAGCTGTACTGTCCCAGGTGAACCCAAACAATAATGCTCTCCACCCCTGTGCTTTCTTCTCCGTTCTCAGTGGCCTAGTGGCCCTGAGATCGGGAGATCACGGGTTCGACTCCTGGTCGGGTCATACCAAAGACTTTGAAAAAATGGGACCCAATGCCTCCCTGCTTGACACTCAGCATTAAGGGGTTGGATTGGGGGGTTAAACCACCAAATAGTTCCCGAGCGCGGCTTGTCTGCAGCTCACCGCTCCCCCAGGGGATGGGTCAAATGCGGAGAGTAAATTTCACCACACACCTGTGTGTGTGTGTGTGTGACGACTAAATGGGACTTTTTTTCTTTTCCCGGCGTTTGTCCCCTGCTGAGAGGAACTATGATGTTGGAGACCGGGAACTCCTCGCTGTAAAGCTCGCCTTGGAAGAGTGGAGGCATTGGCTGGAGGGGGCGGAATTGCGGTGGTTATCTGGACGGACCATAAGAATTTGGCGTATATCAAGGATGCCAAGAGACTCAACCCCCGACAGTATCGTTGGTCCCTGTTCTTTTCCCGTTTTAACTTTATTATTTCCTACAGACCAGGATCTAAGAACGTCAAACCTGACGCCCTCTCCCAGCAGTTTTCCCCTGACTATGACCTGGAGCCAGCCACCATCATCCCTCCCTCCTGCGTCGTGGGATCCCTAACCTGGGACATCCGAACCAAGGTTCTCCAAGCCCTTAAGACTGACCCAGGCCCAGGTAACACACCTCGTGACCTACTTTTTGTTCCCAGCCGAGTCCGAGGCCCCGTCATCCACTGGGCTCACACTGGGCGTTTTTCTATGCACCCCGGGGTGGGACGTACTGTGGCCCTCATTCGGCGCACGTTCTGGTGGCCGTCCCTTTACAAGGACGTCAAGGACTATATAGCTGCCTGCCATGTCTGTGCCAGGGGTAAGGGTACCAACCAGCTACCTGCCGGTCTTCTACAACCTCTTCCCATCCCCTCACGACCTTGGTCCCATATTGCCCTGGATTTTGTTACTGGTCTTCCCCCTTCTCATGGTTTTTCTGTAATTCTGTCCATTGTAGATCGTTTTTCCAAGGCCTGCCACCTTGTTCCCCTGAAGTCACTCCCTTCCTCCTCGGTTACTGCCCAACTGTTGATTTAACATGTATTCCGCCTTCACGGCATCCCTCAGGACATCCTATCGGACCGGGGTCCCCAGTTCATCTCACAGTTGTGGAAGGAGTTCGCCGCCGCCCTGGGGGCCAAGGTCTCTCTCACGTCAGGGTTTCACCCCCAGTCTAATGGGCAATGTGAGCGGCTGAACCAGGAGCTGGAAGCCACCCTGCATTGTGTTTGTGCCACTAACCCCTCTAGCTGGAGTGCTCAGCTTCCCTGGGTGTAATATGCGCACAACAGTCATGTCTCCTCATCCACCGGCAGATCCCCCTTTGAGACGTCACTGGGGTTCCAGCCTCCCCTGTTTCCCTCGGACCAAGTAAGTGCCGCCTCTTCGGTTCCTCAGTTTCTCCGTGGGCTCGGCGTATGTGGACACAGACCGTCGTGGCCCTGGGACGTACGGCCGAGCGCAACAAGAGAGTTGCTGACCGGCACAGACGTCCTGCTCCTCAGTACGTTCCTGAACAACGAGTGTGGCTGTCCGCCAGGGACATATGCCTGAGAGCCTCCAATCGAAAGCTCTCTCCTCGTTTCATTGGTCCCTACACCATTGCTGCAGTCCCTAGCCCCTCCACTGTTCGTTTAACCCTTCCTTCCTCCCTTAGGATCCACCCTGTGTTTCATGTGTCCCTCGTCAAGCCTGTTTTGTCTAGCCCCCTGTGTCCCTCTCCTGTTCCTCCTCCTCCTCCTCCTCGTTTTTTTGAAGGTGGCCTGGTTTATCCTGTCCGGCGGCTCCTCGACGTTCGTCGCCGGGGCCGGCAATACCTCGTTGACTGGGAGGGTTTTGGTCCCGAGGACAGGTCATGGGTCCCTGGGTCGTTCATTACGGACCCTTCTCTCATCGCTGACTTTGAGGCCTCCAGGGCCTCGTCTTCTTCACCCTCCTCCTCCTCTGCTAGGCCGCCAGGGGGCGTCCGTTGAGGGGGGGGGGGGGTACTGTCAGGATCTGGGGTGAGTCTGCACATTCCTCTAATCACCTTAAGTCATTGCAGGTGGGCGGCTCTGGAGAGCGGCCAGCTGCAGTGAGTTTCCCTCATCGGCTACATGGGTTTATAAGGAGCTGGAGATCACTTCACCTCGCCGGAAGATTACTCACCTTGGGTAGCTCTATATAGTAAACTACAGTTTAGTCTTGCCTGCTATTTGTCTGTTGCTGTTTTTTTTTGATGACCTCTGCCTTCCCTTCATCAGGAATTCTCACCACGAACCTTTCCTGCAATAACCTGGTTTTTCATCTCCAAGCCTGATCTCCCTCCTCACCAGAACCGACCCGCTCTCCCACCGCTCACCTTCCTTGGATTTTGGATTCATGCTGAAGTTGCTCACCCCAGTCCTGGCTACCCTCCCAAGCTCTGGATCTCAGCCCCACAGTAAGATCCACTACAAACTAAATCCTGCAAGATTCTATTCCTCGCTGTCCAACACTGACAGTGTTTGTTCCAACAGACCCAGCCCGGAGCTCTGCTCAGCCTCACCGCCACGTCTGGCGGTGCACCTTTAGTTCTACTTAAAATAAAACATTTATTTTTCCTACCACGTCTCCTAGTGTGAATTCTGCATGTCTTGGGTCAGGAAACTTCCCTCGGTCATGACAGAATCAGAAATGTTTTATTGTCCCAAAAACTGGGAAATATGACATTTGTAAGTGGATACTGATGACATTATTTCCTATGAAAGTGTTTCCTATGTACTTATCTGTTTTATTTATCTACTTTAAAGAGGATTAAGACTTTCCTTGAGGAACACCATGACACAGGATGGGCTGAATGCTCTTGCCATGCTCTCCATGGAAAAAAAAAGCTTGTCACAAACATTCCTGACTTCAATAAAAAGCTAATCGAGAGCTTTGCCACTCTGAAGGACAGAAGGGCAAAATTTCTGTACAAATGAGGTATCACACACACACACAAATGCATCCACTTGATCTTTGTATAAAGTTGACCTTGGCACAACACTCCAGAAATATTTAACAGTGTAAATTTCTGGCATTTTGTCTAAGTAGTGTTTACTACCATTACTGTAACAGTGACCTGCTCATAATTTTTCGTGGTCACTCAAATGTTGAAATTAAACAAAATGTTTTTGTTACTTGCCTCTTGCATTGCCTATTTACCATTTATGGTCATGTTATTTTATGTGCAATTTAATGCAGTATTTTTCAACCTTGGTCTGCAAGGCAGCGTGCCAATAGTCAGACACACCTGGATTAATCAGTTTGTCCAATGATGTAAGACAGGAAATAAAAGAGCTGTGCTTAATTCAGGAAATAGTGAAGTTGTGCACAAAGCTCAGAACGCACAAGTTTGTTTAAAAAAAATAGCACAGCCCCACCAAAAATATTTTTCACCAGCCGCCACTGGTTAATCCGGTGTTGTCTGAGTTGGCGCGAGGGGAAACGTTGAGCTTCCACTAATTCATTAATAGAGTGGAAACGGCTGAACTCACGCCGTGTTTGCGTGGTTCTTTCTCTATTCCCCATATAAATTTAAACAGATTACAGTCTGAGTTTTTACCTGTAAAAGGGGAATAGAGAAAGAACCACGCAAACACGGTGTGAGTTCAGCCATTTCCACTCTATTAATGACTGAGTAGAAGCTCAACGTTTCCCCTCGCGCCAACTCAGACCTGACTAGTCAATGCCAAACCAGCTAAAAACGTTTAATAACAAACTCTAGAATAGCAATTGGTCTCTCCAAAAAATAGATAAAACTGTAAACATAAAAGATAATACTTAGGCAAATACATCAGAAGCACTTTTAGAAGCAATATATATAATATTTTTAACTTATTGTCTACAACCTCCACAAATACACTATGTAAATGCCTGATTCAGCTTTTACAACCGTTGGTCTAGATAATTTTGGTGTTTTAGGCGAGTTTGTCCAGATAAACACTTACCGACGGGAACTTGCTCTTCTATTTCCTCCTCTCTAATATGTTTAAGGAAATAAAGCCATGAAAAACAGTCCACGTCGGAGACGCCGTTTAAAAACCGGAGTATCGTCTCTTCTGCGCCATTGTCCCGACTCAGGAGTTCGTCGAAAGATTCTGTTAAACCAAAAGAAACTACCGTCTTTCGGATCCACTCCACGCGAAGATCATCGTGGATCCCCATTTCTTTAATATTTTTATCGAGCTCGAATCGTGTAAAGTGGTTGAAACCGTTCAAACCACTTACAGCCGCTGGTGCTGGTAGCGATGTCCCGTTACCCTGACAACGGTCTTGTAGATTAAAAGGGACGGGGGTGGGGGTGGGGGGGGGGGGGGGGGGGGGGCAGTGACTGGAATGTCTCTATAGGCGTCATTTTAACCGGGGACACCGGGGACATGTCCCCGGCAAAATTTGTAATTGGCAGCTGTGTCCCCCCCACTTTCAAAAAAGCCTGCTGATGAGGATTTTTGTTTTACCAGCTCAGATCTTTTACCAGGGGTCGGCAACCTGTT